TACGTTGTGTTCATATTTAATCAGCCAAGAAACCGGTGGGAAACCGATGACCAATAACCAAGTAAATGAATGAACGTTAGCACAGCAATTATCAAAAAAAAACGTTATTAAGCAGATCGACAGTTTTCATGTCGTTACTTCGTGGGAGTTGTGAAAACATTGTTTACGTGCCATTATAAGAAAAAACTCAGTGACGGTGTCCACAGGCTAGTTTTCAAAGTTATCCTAGAAAGTTCCGGAAGGTTAGCAGACGTTGATCTCCTATTGATGCAGCTTATTTCTCTTTTAAAAAGGAACTACTTAAGGAGAAATGATTCACTTGTTTTTATACTTTGAATAAATATTGTAACAGTCATGATTGCACAATTTGTGTAAATAATAGTAAGTTAGCCTCCAAGATAATGAGAGACCATGACGTTTACTTCTGTCTGCCTAACTTGTCCAATTCCTTTCAGGATTCATGCTAATTTCTAATCATGCTAAACTGCTCTGCTTTTTGTTATTGGTGGCCTAAGGGCATTTCCAAGGCTAATCTTTGGACATCTGAGAAGAACTAAATGATGGAATGTATGATTTGTCAAGACAACAATGATGCTTGACTTGAAAGGTACTTAAACTTTGTTGTCCGCACATCGTTTAAATAACAAATTCACTCAATTATTCAAAATATTCAATTGACTGTTGTAGAAAGCAGACAGATAGTTACGGTATAAGAAAAACAACACAAAATAGATGTGCAGGCACAATAATGATTCAGAACTTCATTTCTTTCATCGAGCATTTTTGCCGATGGTCGTTATATGCTTTGCTCATTTAGTAGGAATGCTCATCATTTACTCGGTTTTGTGTTGAAAATTTCTATAACATTCTACGTGTGTAAATGAAATAATAAATAAAAGAATCCCCTATGTTCTGCGGAGACTGCCACAAATTACAGTTTCAATTTCGCCAGTAAATTCATTTTAGCAGACTTATACGGCTTAGGCGTACCCCTCCCTCGCCTCTGTGCACCAAGACTGATAATTTAATCTGTTATATGACCCACTGACGTCTAAACACATGCAGCGCATCTTTGAGTTGAACCGAATAACGGCGCCATTGGGCACTAATTGGAATGCCGCTACCCGTAGTCAAATATGTGAAGAAAAGATAACCCAAATTTTCCATGGTAATAAACCGTAATTTTCAATTCCTGTAGAAATATAAAGTAAACTCGTTGTATCGGAACTATTCGGCGCCCTGACCCTTTGTTTCAAGACATCTAACGGGGGGTCTGCTCGAACGCCCGTTTCTTTCACATAACTTAGAAATGTGTTCATGCTTTTGGTCACCTGCTCAAATAGTCCTCCACGCTCCGTAGAAATTCTATAGTATGAACTGAATTAACCCCATATTTCATTCAGAAAAAAGGCAATGCTCCCTGATCGTTAATTGTGTACTTCTAAGTTACGTTGCTGCTGAACTGCAAAAGGCAGTCTGCTCATAATATTTGAAAAATGGGTTTCAGTTAATTTTTTCTAAAACTATTTAAAGCAGTTTTACTTTGAAATTAGCCGTCATTTTTACAGAGACATAAATATAACATTACTTAATTGGCAAATGCTGTTATGTTAATTTTGCTGGCGTTCCGGTCAAGCGAAATGGGCAACACAACGATATTAGAGACGGAACGTTTTCAACCAGCTCTCATTTGTTGACCACGTGTTCCAAATATGTAAATGATAGAGGCTTTAATTTGCCATTTTCAATCGGTTGTGTACCGACGAAAAGCCGCCTAGTTCGAGGAGGGTAGAATTGTTTTGGATGGCAGCGATAGACTCGACAGGCTGCACCCTCCTACCGATCATCTTCATCAGGGCTCTGCGATATGGCTTGATTATGTAGAAGAGAATTACGGAGTTAAGCATTGGAGTGATATAATAGCACATGATAAGAGTAAACCGCAGCCACTGAGGTACTCCGAGAATTATTCCGTCGATTACATACATTATTATAGTCATCGGTTGCAAGGAAACGGCTAGAACGGTTTGAATTAAAATCAAATTCGAAATGTCACTGTTGTCTCTCAAGTTCATCCGCTGCCTGATGGACAGGTTCTGTTTACGGTAGCTTTTCAGGAAGAGCAACAGCCGCATGCCACAAGCCAACGTCACAACATACGACATGGCCATAATGAAAAGCGATCCGGAATTGATGGCAAAGTCGTATTTGCGCATGTCAACAACGCATGTCACTCCTGGCTTGCCTCCGAAAGCGTCCTGTAATCCCTGAGGTATGGTGGTTACGATCGTTATGACCAGGTTAAGACAAACGATAATCCATCGATGCCAAATTTTCGGCGATCTTTGCCAGACTATTTGCAAGTACCGATCGATCGCCAGAGATGCCTGAGCCAATATTGTGTAC